ATCTAAATACTTATATACTAGCAAGCTATAAGAATTATTAATTTTAAATTTAAGAAACTTCTAATTTTGATATTTCAGATTACAAAACTTACAATCTGATATACTGTATTTAATATAGTTTCTATATAATTTTTATATAATATTAAAAATTTAAAATGTCGAATTTAATAAAACTGCTTTAATTTGGATATTTAAATAATTTTATTAATAATATATTTATTTGGTTTTAAGGCTTTAAATTTTTAATAAGTCGTATAAGCTAGGATTTTTAATAAAAATTTGATGATTATTAAAACAAATTAAAAATAAAATTATTTATATAATTAGCTTACAAAGTTTAATATTGTCCTGCAAAAAACAATAAAAAAATATAATAAAAAGTTATGCAAATCAATGATGTTAATATGTATATTATGCAAATTAATATATATACGTATATTTTTTTATTAGTTTTTATATAACTATATTAAACTTTGTAAGCTGACTATGTATGTATACATATTTAGAGGCTAATTAAAATATGTTAATGGCTATGTTAGATAAATACAATATACGTAGTAATAAATAGATAAATAATAAATTTAAATAATAAAAAGATTTTCTTTCTAATATTATATACAAGTTACTCTCGATATAAAAACAAAAAGCTATCAAAAGAGGGATTAAAAAATCTCATGGCTATGACAGTGGAAAAATAAAAAAATATTTGGAACTCCTGGAGAAAAATCCCTATTCAGATTATGTAAAAAAGGTCGCTTATGAAGAAATTGTGTGCTATGAAGTTCTAAGAAAGTTTCGATATAAGAAAAACTAATTGAACTCTCAATATAAGAAAGTTTAGCCAAATCTAGTCAGTATTAAATTCATTCAATATAAAAAAGTTATTAACAAACTCTTGATATAAGAAAATTTTGTAAAATTTTCACTATGTTTCTGACAACTTTCTTATATTAAGATTCAGTTGTATTATGGCTTAAATATAATAGAAGCTGAATATAATTAGTATATTTAATAGCATTAATATGTTTCTATATTCGTTGTTTATATAGTGATAAGTGTTGTAAAAAAAAAAAATTCAAAACTTCAGGCTTTGCTTTGAACTTCATTATTTATTTGCTCAGCCTTTAAAGTACGTGTTTAATAAATTTATAACAATTAAATAACATATTACCAAAAAACTTCTTTTATTACATAGTTTATTACATAAACCCGATCTTTAAAACCAAAATCTGGTTTTCATTTAGCAATGTATATATAAGTTATATCACTATATCTAATAACTATTGTCAAATATTAACATTGCAGTTTCGTCTTTCACAGGGAGTTTCGTCTTTCGCAGGGGTTTTGTCTTTCGCAGGGGGTTTCATCTTTTACAGAGGTTTTGTTATTATGCCAAGGGTTTTGTATTTCGTCTTTCGCCAGTTTTAAGTTTCGTTTTTCAACATCATGCAAGAATGGTTTCGCCTAACAACTATAGATATAATACAATTGGACCAATATGCATTTAAAATGATGAGAATCGTATCAAGGCTGATGAGAAAAGTAGGAACTTGTTCAAGTGACATAGGCACATCAATATGACAAACTTCTGCCATAACATATAAGACATCACACAAAAGAGTAGTGAGATAGAATGTGATATGACGCCCTGAGTACAGAATAATTGTTCAGTGATGTGTGATCTAAAAAAAAAAGGTACTGTTGGAAACTCACCGACAACTTGAAATCCGAGCATACAATTCATATTATAAAAGTTGATCGCATCTTTGTTAAATATAGCTATCCGAATGAGATCAGTGCAAAGGAGATAAAAGTTATTCATCTCTTCTTGAACTCGATTTCGTTGATAATAGCATCTGGTTGTTTTGCTTTGCCAACTGGTTTTCTAGCCTTTGACTCCACAGCCTCTTTATTTGACCTGTAGTATTCCTATTAATTAGGAAATGTATATATGAAAATATATCAAGTTTAAGAGCTTACCATCACAAAAATATACTGCGATCAGGATCTGAAAAAAGTAGGCTGAGAATTGTGTCAATATAAGTGGTGCACAGTTCCACCTCCCCAACGGGGCTTTTTAGTGCAAGTCTTGGAACTCTTTTGATACTAGTAATTAGAAATAAAAACTGTGTTTAGTATTGGGCACTGTAAAAATCCCCTGCTCCATAATTCGTTACAATCTTACATGTTTCTTATGGCCTTCAAAATTGCGCGTTCTCCATAAGAATGGCCAACTGTAAGAATTTGAAGTTCTGAAACTGCATCGTCTCTTGTGATTTCCTTCCATTGTAGGTGCTGTAGCAAGAACGAGTTCATAAAATTTTCACATCAAATAAGTGTAAAGAAGATATATACCTTAACAATGCGAACAAGCTTCATCAATAATTCATTATCAAACTCTGTTTCTTGTTTGGTAAGTCTCTGTATGATATCATCATGCATCGTTACTAGTAACTCGTCTCCAAAACCTTCCACTATTAACGGGCAATGTTGTTTGGGTTTAAGCAAAAGGACATGCGATAGCGACCTACACATTATAAAATTTGCTTCTGCAGTAACTACCTTAGTAAATGAAAAAAATTGAAAGCATACAATATCTGCTGTGTATGGCTTTCCACAAAAAGGCCTTCTCTATTTGCCAATTCTAATGATTTTTCCTTAAACAAATGCTATCTCTCAGAGATGTCCGTTTCATTTATGAACCATCTGAACTCTTTTCGAGGCAATGGTCCCAATTCTAGTCCTATGACATCATTGATTATTGCTGGACAATTGGGCACAATTTCAGTATCCGAAAGAGACAAAATAGATTCATTCTCTCCGTCTAAATTATTCTTAGATCCTAAAAACGGATTATTTTCAGCGTCCACAACTGGTTCGCTTGAGCAAAATGAATGATAACTGATTAATAACAGATAGCAACAACGAATAAAAAACGTAACGAAGCTTACGTGCATTTCCTCTTCTGTTGTGAGCTTTGCTGGTATTTTTCCTCTTGATCATCAGAATCAAGTTCATGTTCTTTATTTCTCGGGAAGCCCGAACCCTAGATGAAGAGGAGAAAAGTCAAATTTATTACGAACATAGAAATAAATGTAACTAAATACTCACGCGATTTCGTTTTCGTCCGATTATTGATCCGGCATTCGTCTCGCTCAACAAGTGCTGTTTAATGACGGTTTTTTGTAATTCGAGATTTTGGGAAAATGTTTCTTTTGTTGTGCTCAATACATGTTGCACCTAAAAATGAACTTTCAGTGTATTAAGAACAGATGCGATTAAGTGTCAAGCCAAAATACTAACCTGTTCAACACCGATTTGATCTTTCAGATCATTTAGTTTGTCCTTCTCAGATCACATCCAAATTATTAATTATGGATACTGTCAAACAAAAAAGTCACTAAGATTTTCGAATGTACCAGATAACTTACTTGTTGTAGACGTGATTTTTCCTTATAAAACATGCTCTCACTTTGAATAACTTCGTACAATTCCCAGAAATCTTTTACTTTTTTGGAACTTTTATCATTCTAATAATATTAAAAACAACTAATGAAAAAAAACATAACCAAGCTTGCCTGTTCACAAACAGAAACGCAGTTCTTTCCCACTGTCAAACGGCATTTGACAGGGTAGTTTGTGAGTTGTTGTCACTGGCCCACTAACATCATGCTCATCAACTAACATCATGCTCACCAACAAAAACGCGGTTCTTTCCCACTGCCAAACAGCATTTGACAGGGTAGTTGATGACGGAGCTAGGCAACGCAGACAGGTAAAATAAATACCTTAAATGAAATTTTCCATTTGTTCACTTGCTCCACAATCTCACATGAATCAGATAAGTATTCTACGATAGTATCTAGTTCTTCACTGTAACGGTGGTGCTCTGTTTTCGAATCACTTAAATTGCCTTCGCGTAAACGGAATTCTAAAAATTTTATAAGCAAAGGTTTTTCCACACTCTCCCAGAAAGCTATACTCATAAAATAAGTTCAATGTTATGAAACAAAAGAAACAAAAGAAAAGGCATGCTTTGCTTACCAGGATATTTTAAGGCGTTACGGCACTCAGGAAGCAGTTGCATCAAATCAGGTTAAATGAGAAAGTATGAAAGTTTTTTTTTATAATATTATCAAATCTATACGCCACGTAAAAATTTTTCGGAATCAGAAAATATCCTTTTTCCAATGGGGA